ATATATATATAGGGATTGACCTCATCGTGTTATAAAAAGCCATGAGTGATTTTTGTGTGTAGATGGAAAAGAGAGATGATTATTAGTATGAAATATTTTCATAATGACCTGTGGCCAAACGGTTCATAAATACCTTAATTAAAAATGCAAAAACCTGTTGGTAAAAAATATTCAATTTTATATTCTGGTTCTTGCAATTTTTAACCACAAACCTAAAAAGCGGTTTATATAGACTATTTTTCTGTCTACGTCAAAGTGTTAGCTGGAGGCAGAGCGGTCTGTTCACTGCTGGACTTCACTGATTGGTCAGTTCTGCAAGTTTGATTGACAGGTGGAGGATCATTAAACCAACTGATAGTGAGCAAATTCTTACAGCATAAAAACAGCATTGGATGATCGCCCTTTGCTGGACATGAGGAATCCTTTAATATCCTTTTATTTACAGGAATGTCATTGAAGTTAATTGACTTTCTTCCTTTAAAAATGTAATTATACTCTTTAATTTTGTTCTTCTCTTGGGAATAAAATGAATTATGATGAGTTAAATTTCAACTAATTTAACTGACAAGTTTTTTATGGGTTTGCTTAGGTCTCTGATAACCTGTGTACATCTTTGAAATAAGAAAATATTAAATCTTTTATAACGAGCGACTCTATTAGCTAGTGTTGACTTTAAATATTTCATTTTTTTCCATCCTACTACATATCTTTATATCATATCATTTTCGCTGATGAGCTGTGTTAAAATCTATCACCGCCATAACTGAATTTTTATTCTCCTTTTCATAATGCAGAGAACGACCCGAAAGACGCAGTCAGCCCCTAGTTTGACGACTGATCAAGTACAAGAGCTTATCAAGGTAGGACTGACTGCTCTCATTTACTGCCTGCAAAAGTCAATCACTTAATTAAGACGAAACAAACGTATCCTGAATTCTTCCAATGGTTAAAAAGAAATGTTTATATTTATATATATTTACCAAATACAGACGGCGCCAGCAGAAGAGGTCCAAAAAGAGGTTGAGAGTCTTCTATCCAGGCAAGAGCTGCAGGACCTGCAGCCTTCGTTGGGACAGTTGGCTTTATCCCTTGTGTCCCGGAGCCTGGCTGATCCGGCGTTTTACTCTTCTAGCACTCTAACTCAGCTTGTGCACACCCAGTGCCTCTCCCACAGGTCAGTGCTGCTCATTCTTCTTCTCTGGTTTATGCTTGGAAAGTTTCAGATTATGAAATGCCAAAAAAAAAACAGTTTGCCCCTGCAGTGCAAAAATTAAAATCTAAGTAGTTATTTTCATGAAATGGGTGGGTTTTCCCTTAATTGGAGCAGATTTGACCTTTTGCAAATAAAAGAACAGGACTTGTGTTTAGATTGAGAAAAAAAAAGATACTTATTTTAAGAATTTTTTTTAACTTTTGGTCTTTTTATTTTTGGTATTAAAATACAATGATTAGGTATTACAGGGTTCCTACAGCATAAGGCAAGTTAAATTCAAGACTTTTTAAGACTTTTTAAGGACCCGCGGGAACCCTGTATTAGGCCTTAAAAATAAGATAGTGGGGTTGCTTTTTCTTCTTTTAAACTTAAATCATCCCACTCCATTGGCAATTTGTCTTACGTGCTCAAATAAAAAAAGAACAATTTCTATTTCTATTTAGCAGTTTATTGATATGCATTTTTCTACAGTTTATGATTATATTACTAATAGTGTTGTTTCTGTTGAATTGAAGTGCCTGCCATCTCTTTCAACAGTGTGTGTCCTGACCTCTTGCCTCTCGCCCTTGAGAAGAAGGATTATTTTCTCTGCCAGCTCTGCTTACAGTTCTTCCCTGACATCCCAGAAGCTGTGACCTGCTCCTGCCTCAAGGCATTCATCAGGTAAAGCCGAACTCTTTTTACCACGCAAATCAACATGAACGCTGCCGTAACTGGATGAGCACGGCCGATAAACCTTTTCTTACTGCAGTGAAGAGAAACTGATAAAAACTGAGCTCAAAATTCAAAAATAAATAAATATTTACCCTCAGTCTGAGTAGGTAAATAAGATGATCTGTCAAATAGACAAATAAAGACAAAATTTTATAGATTTCATAGACTTGAAATAAGATTTTTTTTCTTATTTTAAACATAAATTACATTTATTATATTCCAAATTCTCTAACTTATTTGCTTAAATCAAAGGAAAATACAGTTATTTCAAGAAAAATTGACTTTCTCAGATTTTTTTTTTATGCATTAATAATCAGACTTTGCACAATAAATTATATAATAACATATGTGTTTTTTTTGTCTGTATTTAATGACTCCTATAGTTTACCAGATGCTGATGCAGAAAAGCTGAGCCTGGAGCCTGATAGCGTCTCCTTTATGGAAATGCTGATCTCCAGTGAGCATGCTCAGGCTGGCTTGCAGAACGGTTTTAGCCCCACGTCCTGCAAGGAAGACGGCACAGACGCCATTGACGGCCCACAGACTAAAGCGAAAGAAAAGGAGAAGGCGCCGCCACAACAGATGTGTCCGCTAGGTTCACATAAGGCTGCTCTGATGTATCCTAACCAAACATGGTCACTTCAATACACATAGCCTTTTTCTTATCGCTTTATTTGTTTGTTTGTTTGTTTTTTATATGATTTCTCCCTCCTGGGTGTGTTTTTGCTTCTGCCATCAATTTGAATATTTGATCTTGACTTAAAGTGTGCAGAAATGAGGTCCTACAGACGGCATACAGTGAAACCTTCCTCCTCCCGCATCTAAAGGATTTGTCCTCTGATCACGTCGTTGTGAGTAGCTCCTCATCAGTTTGCAAGATAATCTACAGGGCTGAAAAACTCCTTTACTTTAGCTGAAAAAGTGAAACTCATATTTCATAGATTCATTACACACACAGTGATATGTTTCAGGTCGCTCGGATGGATGGATGGATGGATGGATGGATGGATGGATGGATGGATGGATGGATGGATGGATGGATGGATGGATGGATGGAT